AATCCCTTCTCCTAACCATACTACAACGATAATGCTCGAACAGAAAATCAAGATAGCCCCAAAGCTCTTATTCAGGAAGCATCAGGTGCAGAGGTGATCATTCACACTTCAAATACACTAGAACCTATCGTTGTGGCAATGACTGCCTTTCCTTCTACTGTGGTTCTAACATCTAATCAGACCGAAGATCGCATGAGTCAGTCTTCAAATGAAGAATAGAAAGGGGATCTTAGTTTGCTTCGTTTGGCGCTTGCCCGAGAGGTGGCTTTGCTGATTTGGAAACTTAATAGATGATACTTTGGTTACTTTTGGTTCCTCCTGACAATGACACGACTCTTCAAAGTTTATTATCGGGCGCCGCTCTTAAAATTAGAGGAAGAGGCAGGACTAAACTGGCTCGTCTCTAGCTACCTGTTTTTTTATGTTTTAAATTTGTTTTACATTTTTATTGAGTTTATCTGTATCTTTTTGTTGAGTATTATTGTATGAATAGGGTGTCTTTATTGGGCCCTCTCATACAACCTTTATGTATCATTTCTATTTCAATAAAATAAGCCCTTGGGCTTTTCATAAATAAATATATATACTATAGTAAGGATATAGTTATGTACTATAGTTTATATATATATTAAAATAAAATTGATATTTGGCTAAGGCCCAAATATCGATTTTCCATGCGTTTTTTGGCCCCATGATGAGAGCCCTCATGATGTGCCTAAAATTCCAGAGCCCCCGCGCCACGGTGGGATAGAACCCTTGACCTGATGGGACTTACATTGACTACACCACCAACAGACTAAGGCTTGCGATAGAATATATATATATATATATATAACATAGTAGTAGCTGGTGGTTAGCATTCACAATGAAGATATAGTTATTTATATCCTCAATGGTCTCCCCTCATACTACCAATCATTCAAAACAACCATCAAAACAAAGTCTCGTCTTACTAAGGGTCTATTTGGGGCAGCTGCAGCTTATCCAGTTTCTGCTGATAAGTAGCTTATTCTGATAATCTGTTGATGAGCAGTTGATCCGAATAAACTGTCTTGTTGTTTGATTTGTGTGTTTGGAAAACAGTTGATTTTGGATAAATGACTATTCTGCCCCTGTTGTGCATAAGCTGTTTAGCTATTTGGTTTGTGCGTTTTGTAATTGTGTGTTTTGTAAACAG